TTGAAATTCTAACAGAACGAACATAATTTGAAATTACCCTAAACTTATTTTAAATAGTGCAAATTATTATAAATAATAAATAATAATAAATTTCATGGTTTCACATGTTGGCAACGGGACAATTTGATGTAATTGGTTTTGAACAAAAGCAAAACAAAGGAAATAATTTCTCCATTAACGATTCTACAACTTCTAAGTCACTGTACCAAACGTGTTACATACATTTCGTACTTCTCGACGGCTGAAGTACTGAAGTGAAAGGAATACTAAATATCATAAAAATCACGTCAGGTTTATTGATGATTAGCAATATGATTTTGCGCGCGGAAAAAAAGTCTTCCGAATAACTGCATTTGTATCTAAAGATTAGAAATTAATGTAGTGGCACTAAAAACAATTATATCAATTTTTTGCTATAGACCTCTATTTCGATACTTGTATTCCAATGCTTCGTACATGCATACTATCTATATTTAATGCAAATGTCTATGTAGAGCGTTTAACTTGCGTCTAACAAGCTAACTATGCAGCAATATAATTTTCAATATGTAACCAATTATACAGTCACAATATTATTTACAACACTGTTTTGTAGTATGATCCGAAACAGACTCCTTAATGGAAGGATAATATATTATTGCATCAACTATAGTGAAAAGTTCGTTATTTTAAGTGATTTGAAGTAGTGGAACTGTTGATAATACTTTTTTTATATATACTACAACAAATACCATGCAATCTACTTTTGTATTAACACTTTGACTGTCACGTTATCCATTTCCACTAATCTATTACATGTGCCTAATTTTATTTAGTTCCATAAAATGCAAGAACGTCGAAGGCGTAATTGATCTGAAATAACCTTTCAGTTTTAATTTGTTTAAATAAAACTTTCTAATTTTATGAAATTCTTGAGATTGCTGACGCGGCAGTCGAAGTGTTAAACATTTTTATTCCTAAGTTATTTACATATTTATTGACTAAGTAGAATTGGCACACCAAGCAGTTATTTGCAACTAATTACACGCGTATAAAATATTATGATTTTAGCGATGTTAAGCAATTATTTAAACAAGGACGCAGCAACTGAAAATTTCGTTGTCGTTGAAATCGAAACGGTCCCAGCGTCCAGCAACGTCGTAAAACAGTGACACGAGTGAGCGGAGAATTAATATTCATTACACAAGACATCGCATACGTGTGCAAGCTACAAGAATGGCATTTCGCGAGCTTTCGCGAGCCATAATAATCGACGTAAATGAGATTACGCTGTTGAATGGTAATTGCATCGAAATGCAAATCAACCCCGTCCCCGCAGTACCCGGTAATTACGTGTCTCCGTGATTCGCCGATCCGATTCGGAGTTTTTCATTTCCACGGTGTGCACCGTGGCTAACGAGATCATGGTGTTCATTTTGTCGAGGATTAAAGCCGCTATTTTTCGCCACTGCTAAACGACTGATAAATCTGTCATCCTGTCTACGTCTCTTCCTCTGTTCCTATTAACCGAATTATTTTCATACGCCGCGCCGCGCCGGCCATGGGGGCTGATGCAACGAGAAAAGAACTGGATCATGTTGTTTTTCATCTCGCAACCGTGTCACTTTAATTGAAACAAGGACAAGGTTTCGTCTTGCGAATGCGACGCTCGTTCATCTTTTCAAGAAAATAATATTCCGGATTTTCGGAGACGGAATCGGTGCATACAATAAACAAGTTGTTTTCTAACTGAGATGAATGTTAGGTACGTACAGTGGTGTGAATAATTCTAGACTCAAAGTAACTTCTACAGTTTTAGTGATATTAAAACATTAACTTAACGAAACACCGCATTTGTGTATTTCTATATTAGAAATAATATAAGAATACATTCTGCAAAAATGTAATCCACTCCTATACCTAAGCGGTCGATCAACTATAAACTAGTTGCACCTAATATTGTAACAGCCAATGATATCTTGACAAATTATTATAGGCTGGTGTCTGAAGAACAATTAAATAAATAAATAATAATAATAATAATAATAATATTAGAAATAATAGAAAATAGAAATGTACAAATATAGTTTTTTTTTGTTTTGGTTTAAATATCGGTAAAAATGTAAAAGTTACTTTGAGTCTATAATTATGCACACTGTTATATGTTCTTCATTTTATCAGTCACTTAAGTTGCTTCTATATGGATTTTATGTATATAGGACATAAATATAATATCTACATAATTTCTACATAATTTCTGCATGCTGCTCCAAGTAATCGTAAATACGGATAATTGAAATTATTTGCAGAAGTTTAAAATAGAGATATCTAGTATTTGTAACAATAAGTTAGCCGAAATATTGATTAGAAAACAAGGAATGCAACAAATATAATATAGTGTAAAACATTATTTGAATAAATTTGCGAATACATGCGTACATTTCTTCGATTCATTTCTTCATCAGTATACTTCGAATATATGTATAAAGTAATTTGGTTGCGAAAAAGAACCCGCACGATAATTAAATTCTCCACCAACTTATTTTGCGAAATCATTATCAAGTTAATATAATTTTTAGTAAAATATTCAATCGATAGCATTGCGAATCTTGTGGTAGGTGTGAAACCAGTTTACAAGTTTGCATATCTTCCCGATCTCCCTGTTTTAAA